AAGTGGATGACAAAAAGTGCGAACACACAGACACACACAGTCTCTTCCCAATATGCGTTTTTTGCAATTAGCATACATGCAAAAACGCATAAAAAGGACGAATGATATTATATAGGGAAATCAGTGTTTAAACGAATAATTATTACCGTCCCAGGTACAACTTATGAATTTTAAATTCAACTGCCAGATGTATGTGGTTCTCACGTACGGCCTCGCAAAAAATTTTAACGGGAGAATCGCTAACTCGGGAACCAGGAAAGCTGGAAGGTTGAAATTATGAGGCGATGTTCTTAGCCAGGTACAACTTAAAGATTTCAAATTCAGCCTCAGGCGCGTATGGTTTTCACCCAAACCCTCGAAGTTCTTGGCAGGGAAATTGCTTTTTACGGAATTTTCCCTGTTCAGTTATCACGAAGTTGACAATTAACTTCCGGAACTTATAGGACATATGCCACAAAGTTCAGCTACTGGGATTTTTACTACAGCACGAGATAATGCAAAAACGCTTGATCACACTGGCCCGCCTAGTGCGCGTCGCCAATGATGATTTTGAAAATGGATGAACCTACTTTTAATTAAAAAGAGATCAGTTTCAGGTGTATCTCAGCCATATGCCAGTTGTATTTGCATCATATTTACAGCTTCCTTTTCCTTATATCTACACAAATAAATATCAATTACTGTTTGTGGCTGTGATGAACATCGCAGCTGCGTATTTACTGGGCTTTCAGTGTTCACTACTATCCGAATTTCCCGCAATGAATATAGAGCGAGCTGTGCGTCGCTATTTGGAAGAAAAACTGCAAGTGAATGGTGACAACCACAGCGATAATATTAAAATGTCGGAGTTGTTAACAAATGCCCAAGTAAGTGAGCCGGTACGAGGGATAGGCGAGCGCTGAGCTTCATAGCTCAGGTGGGAAGTGCAACGTGTTGATCGAATGCTCATTTAAAGGCGAAACAAATGAAATAGACCTAGGGACTAGCAATAAGTAGGTCCAAACATTGGAAAAACAGTGAAGAAAAGTATGCAGACATGTAAAATGTTTGAATAAAATAGAGGAATAAAAAGGAAATGACATATAGCCTATCTATAGACCAGTCATCGATCAACTGGTAAAATATTTGTCCATTAGCTAACCTCTGACAAACCAGAGTAATGTGAAAAACCAGTTGCCAGCCAAAAACAGGTAAAGGATCTGTCCAAGCAAAGTCTAAGGAAGAATTATGAAGTTTGCACTGGGAAAATCAGCTCCTAACTGGGACTCAAGAAAAGCCTTTTAGGCGAGTCTTCTTGAAGAATGTATAAACAGTCTCGCTGCTGGAGCGTACACCATGGATTCTGACAATTATAAGCTTAAATAAAGCGTTCATTCACCTCCCTTCTGCGATCCTTTACACAACCCAGACATAACTAGTGCAGATGAGCGCTCTGATTTCTATCCATGTCGTTTTCATCGCATTAACGATCTCTTAATTTTGGTAATTTTTACTTTTTTCTTTTTATGCGTTTTTGCTGTGCAGCGCTATAGCGCTGCTACAGCCAGCAAAAACGCATATTGT